CCGGTACGACGTAACTTAAGTACACTACTCGTAGTAGTAGTAGGGTAGGGTAGAAGTATATAAGAGAAATAATATAGTTATTAGAAAACAAAATGTAAGATTATTTAGAAGGATTTAGAGATTATATAAATGAAATTTGACAATTTTCAGATAGAAAAAAATATTTTTAATCTTAACATGAAAATCACTTTGCACTTGGTGCAGTTAACATTTTGACTCCATATATTCATGTAGAACATTTTAGTAAAAATACTTCATCAAAAATTCTGATTTTTTGTCCACAAAATACCTTTTATGTTTACTGTAAGCTTGTGAAATTTTGTGAATATACACAAAACATATTAAAGGTTACAGTATGGAAACACTAAAGATCAATTTAGGGTCATGAACTTGGCCAAACTGACTGAGCTCAGAGCAAGAGTTAAACACTTTAAAACCTATGATAAAATTACTTTAAATGATTGTAATGTAATTCAACTTACTTAAAGCATAACCATTATAAAATGTACTATAATCATAAGAAGAAAGAATTTTTTTTTATCTTACAAGGAAAAAAGAAAAAAAAGTAATTTATGTTATTGGCTTTTACCATATTTTATTACAATTAGAAACTTATATTCAAAGAGTAAAAACCTCGCCCTGCCAAACGATGAAACTGCCTCCAAGTGAGTGGCCCTGATACAGTGTAGGTAACTTCCCAAATCCCCTGCATAGTCTTCTTTTGCACTGCAACCTGAAGTAGTGGTTGGATCACTTTAAATAATCTCACTATGTCATAGTTACTGGCTGGAAGTTTAGCTGTAAAAAATATTTGGTTATATAATATCAATAAACACAACCATTAAAAAACAGATATTGGTGAAAGTTACTCACTAAATATTACCTTAAGGGAAAGATTCACTGAACATAGCCCTTAAACTCCAGTCAACTTGAGCTTACTCCTACCTAAATTCATAACTTCATTCACAGACGAGGCAAAAAAAAAAAAAAAGGTGCAGCACAAGAGGGAAGGTCCTACCTAAATTCATGTGTTTAATGTGAACTGCACTGGTGCATGATGACATAATCAGACAACAACAGCCCTCCACCAATAGGAGGGCAACACAACCTATATGTGCAGTAACTCTCCCTATACACTTGCACTCATAACTTCATTCACAGATGAGGCAAAAAAAAATAGGTGCAGACAAGTGGGAAGGTCAGGCAGACATATCTATTGGAAATACATTTTAAGATTAGGAACATTTTAATTTCTAAGATGACAACTTTTTCACACAGAAATGCAAGAATCCCAGGTTGAAGTGATGGAGGGGCTGACAGCTCCCTTCAGAAAGCACCCATATAGAAGCCTATGAAGTGTGACACTAAATGCCAAAAACTCCATAGGGCAAACCTCGACTAGAGTATTCTCTTTGCCCAAGAAGAAAAAGAGGGAATAGTGAAAGAGCCTGAAGTGTCATAGGGATGACCAAATGTGATAATGATCAACCAAGCACCCACACGCAAGTTGTCAGCAAACCAATATGTGTAGTGTGATTAGGGCAAGATCAGACTGTATGATGTATGCTCACTTTGACTTTACTGGACAGACTCTAGCTGCAGGAGAAGGGCACAATAGCTGTAAAAGGGGTAACCCATACTACAATGACAATGCCACCACCACCCTTCTTCTCACTATATTGTGCTAAGCCCAATCAGTTTGAATTCTCCATGGTCCACTACTCCAGCAGCTATGAATTGGTAAGTGGCAAGGGTTTCTCATGTTCCACTTGAAGAAGGAGGAAGGATAATTCACAACGGAGAGATCTGAAGAAGTGCTCGGATTCCAATTGGACCATCAACCAGAAAGGTCTTTAACTGAAGACAGGGCAATGAGTGACCCCAAAAAACTCTATTTTTAAGACAGCAAGTGCAAGCAAAAGAAATGGTCGGCCACAACCTTGTTGCTGGCTTTTGCTATATTAGTCAACAGAATTGTAACAGTCTGGATTCAGCATTCAAGTAAATTTGTATACCATGAGGATACCTCAACTGGTCTTGTAGAACACCTTATCTCACAGTGCGCACTGGTGGAAACAAAGCAAATGGCTGAACACGTTCCTTTATTCTGGCTTGATGCAGATTCTGGGAAATAAACATACGCAAGGAAGCAACACCAATCATCTTGCAGGTTTCTGTTTGACAGAAAAGAAGGAGAGAAATAAAAAGAGAAACATCAAAATCCTGCAGAAGATTAAACAGCCAGAAGGTGAAAGTGATGAGCAACAAACGTGTGAGGAGTTCTCCACATGCTTGCATGGAGGATCTTGTCTGAGAGCCGGCAAAAATGAGGAGGAGGAAAATGAGAAAGTTAACAACTAAAATGCAAAATAGTCTGTGAGCATCTACACCTAAGGAAGAATATGCCAACCCGAGGAGTTGATGGACCCTTCCAGTAAGGGTAGAAGGAGAGACATCCCTGGAAGAAGAGGGGTCCCAGGATAGGAACAGATGATGGTGGAGACACCAAAAGACACTATAAGGAAAAACAAACAGCCCAAAAATTACCCAGGAGCTGATCTGGGTTTGAATGAGCATAGAGGTGAGAGACAGAAGGAAGGGAAATAAGAGAGAGAGTATAGTTACCCTCTTTATCAGAAGCAATCTGAGGGAGTAAGGACCAGTCTGAGTAGAAATAGGAGTAAATAAGTGCAGTGGAAGAGGGTGCAACATCTGAACAATGGCAAACACAGGTGAAAAGATGGATTAAAGAAGTCTTGAGAGAAAAGAGGTAAAAATATCAAGAAGACAACAGGACAACAACAGGACATGTGCAAGAACATGCAAAACCAAATTAAGAACCTAGTCAGGCATGAGAGTCAGGTGAGTGGAGGTCTTGCAAAATGACATACCTCTACATAGTGTCATAAGCCTTCCCTGATCAAGATTTCAAGTCGAATCAAATGGTCCATGGTAGAGCACAGCTTATGGAAACAACATTGGGTAAGCAGGAGGAGGCTGTTTGATTCAAGGAACCAAACAAGACAAGCATTAACCATCCTCTCAAAAACCTTACAGAGACAGCTAGTCAAAGCAATAAGATGATAATTAGAAGGAATCTTAGGATCCTTCTCAGGCTTCGACAAAGATACGACAATAGCCTGGTAATAAGTGTCAGGAAAAATGTTCTCCAGTCAGATCCAATTAAAAACAACCAGAAGAAGAGCAAGAGAGGCAGGAGAGAGATGGCACAGCATCTCATAGTGAATGTCATCGGGCCCAACTGGTGTACTGCCGATGAAGAGTGAAATTAAGTTTCACCAATGTAAAAGGGCAATTATAGTCATGGCGACAATCAGCCCGAAAAGAAAGAGGTGATTGCTCTGCTCTAGACTTGGTGTTCAAGAAGGCAGGGGGAAGCAACAGAAGTGCTGACGAGATAAGAAAGGCACTTCCCGAGAATATCAGCGATGCTCTATATGTTGCAACTTCCTGGCCATTGGATAGCATGATGGAAAGGGGATGAGAAGCATACCTCCCATTGACCTTCCAAATCTTGTCCAATATGATTTTAGGACTGGTAGTAGAAGAGATGCTGGTTGTGAATGTAATTCAAGATTCCTTTTGGCTTTGACATCTAACATGCTGAGCATGGACAAGAGCCCACTGGAAAGCAATGCAGTTGGAAAGAGTGGGATACCAGCGAAAGATATCCCACACAAGTTTCTAAGCCTTCCATGCTTGTTGGCAGGCAGGAGATCACCATGGACAAGAATATCTTGGGAAATGTGCCAAGAATTTGAGGATTGAACCAACAGCTGCTTGAATGATACAATCAGTTACTGCTAATGGCTGGAGACGGCT